AGGCTACGAAAGTAGCGAAATTTTAAAAAGTAGCGAAAGTAGCCCAATTTTGGGCTAAAAAGTAGCGAAAGTAGAAATTTTGGGCTAAAAGTAGCGAAAGTAGCCCAATTTTGGGCTAAAAGTAAAAAGTAGCGAAATTTTGGGCTAAAAAGTAGCGAAAGTAGCCCAATTTTGGGCTAAAAAGTAGCGAAAGTAGCGAAATTTTGGGCTAAAAGTAGCGAAAGTAGCCCAATTTTGGGCTAAAAAGTAGCGAAAGTAGCGAAATTTTGGGCTAAAAAGTAGCGAAAGTAGCCCAATTTTGGGCTAAAAAGTAGCGAAAGTAGCAAAATTTTGGGCTAAAAAATAGCGAAAGTAGCGAAATTTTGGGCTAAAAGTAGCGAAAGTAGCCCAATTTTGGGCTAAAAAGTAGCGAAAGTAGCGAAATTTTGGGCTAAAAAGTAGCAAAAGTAGCGAAAATTTTGGGCTAAAAAGTAGCGAAAGTAGCGAACATTTGGGCTAAAAGTAAAAGTAGCGAAAGCGAAAGTAGCGAAATTTTGGGCTAAAAAGTAGAAAAATTTTGGGCTAAAAAGTAGCGTAGCGAAATTTTGGGCTAAAAGTAGCGAAAGTAGCCCAATTTTGGGCTAGCGAAAGTAGCGAAATTTTGGGCTAAAAGTAGCGAAAGTAGCCCAATTTGGGGCTAAAAAGTAGCGAAAGTAGCGAAATTTTGGGCTAAAAAGTAGTGAAAGTAGCGAAATTTTGGGCTAAAAAGTAGCGAAAGTAGCGAAATTTTGGGCTAAAAAGCGAAAGTAGCGAAATTTTGGGCTAAAAAGTAGCGAAAGTAGCGAAATTTTGTGCTAAAAAGTAGCGAAAGTAGCGAAATTTTGGGCTAAAAATAGCGAAATTTTGGGCTAAAAAGTAGCGAAATTTTGGGCTAAAAAGTAGCGAAAGTAGCGAAATTTTGGGCTACAAAGTAGCGAAAGTAGCCCAATTTTGGGCTAAAAAGTAGCAAAAGCTTTGGGCTAAAAAGTAGCGAAAGTAGCCCAATTTTGGGCTAAAAAGTAGCGAAAGTAGCAAAATTTTGGGCTAAAAGTAGCGAAATTTTGGGCTAAAAGTAGCGAAAGTAGCCCAATTTTGGGCTAAAAGTAGCGAAAAAAGCCCAATTTTGGGCTAAAAAGTAGCGAAAGTAGCCCAATTTTGGGCTAAAAAGTAGCGAAAGTAGCGAAATTTTGGGCTAAAAGTAGCGAAAGTAGCCCAATTTTGGGCTAAAAAGTAGCGAAAGTAGCGAAATTTTGGGCTAAAAAGTAGCGAAAGTAGCCCAATTTTGGGCTAAAAAGTAGCGAAAGTAGCGAAATTTTGGGCTAAAAAGTAGCGAAAGTAGCAAAATTTTGGGCTAAAAAGTAGCGAAAGTAGCGAAATTTTGGGCTAAAAAGTAGCGAAAGTAGCCCAATTTTTTGATAAAAGTAGCGAAAGTAGCCCAATTTTGGGCTACAAAGTAGCGAAAGTAGCCCAATTTTGGGTTAAAAATAGCGAAAGTAGCGAAATTTTGGGCTAAAAAGTAGCGAAAGTAGCGAAATTTTCGGCTAAAAGTAGCGAAAGTAGCCCAATTTTGAGCTACAAAGTAGCGAAAGTAGCCCAATTTTGGGCTACAAAGTAGCGAAAGTAGCGAAATTTTGGGGTAAAAGTAGCGAAAGTAGCCCAATTTTGGGTTAAAAAGTAGCAAAAGTAGCGAAAATTGGGCTACAAAGTAGCGAAAGTAGCCCAATTTTGGGCTAAAAGTAGCGAAAGTAGCCCAATTTTGGGCTACAAAGTAGCAAAAGTAGCCCAATTTTAGGCTACAAAGTAGCGAAAATAGCGAAATTTTGAGCTAAAAAGTAGTGAAAGTAGCGATATTTTGGGCAAAAAGTAGCGAAAGTAGCCCAATTTTGGTCAACAATGTAGCGAAATTTTGGGAAAAAAGTAGCGAAAGTAGCCCAATTTTAGGCTACAAAGTAGCAAAAGTAGCCCAATTTTGGGCTAAAAGTAGCGAAAGTAGCCCAATTTTGGGCTAAAAGTAGCAAAAGTAGCCCAATTTTAAGCTAAAAAGTAGCGAAAGTAGCGAAATTGGGCTAAAAAGTAGCGAAAGTAGCGACATTTTGGGCTAAAAGTAGCCAAAGTAGCCCAATTTTGGCCTACAAAGTAGCGAAATTTTGGGCAAAAAAGTAGCGAAAGTAGCCCAATTTTAGGCTACACAGTAGCGAAAGTAGCGAAATTTTGAGCTAAAAGTTGCGAAAGTAGCCCAATTTTGAACTAAAAAGTAGCGAAAGTAGCGAAATTTTGGGCAAAAAGTAGCGAAAGTAGCCCAATTTTGGGCTAAAAAGTAGCGAAAGTAGCAAAATTTTGGTCTAAAAAGTAGCGAAAGTAGCGAAATTTTAAGCTAAAAGTAGCAAAAGTAGCCCAATTTTGGGCTAAAAAGTAGCGAAAGTAGCGAAATTTTGGGCTAAAAAGTAGCGAAAGTAGCGAAATTTTGGGCTAAAAGTAGCGAAAGTAGCGAAATTTTGGGCTAAAAAGTAGCAAAATTTTGGGCTAAAAAGTAGCGAAAATAGCGAAATTTTGGGCTAAAAGTAGCGAAAGTAGCCCAATTTTGGGCTAAATAGTAGCGAAAGTAGCGAAATTTTGGGCTAAAAGTAGCGAAAGTAGCTCAATTTTGGGCTAAAAAGTAGCGAAAGTAGCGAAATTTTGGTCTAAAAAGTAGTGAAAGCGAAATTTTGGGCTAAAAAGTAGCGAAAGTAGCGAAATTTTGGGCTAAAAAGTAGTGAAAGCGAAATTTTGGGCTAAAAAGTAGCGAAAGTAGCGAAATTTTAAGCTAAAAGCAAAATTAGCCCAATTTTTTGCTAAAAAGTAGCGAAAGTAGCGAAATATTATGCTAAAAAGTAGCGAAAGTAGCAAAATTTTGGGCTAAAAATAGCGAAAGCAAAATTTTGGGCTAAAAAGTAGCGAAATTTTGGTCTAAAAAGTAGCGAAAGTAGCGAAATTTTGAGCTACAAAATAGCGAAAGTAGCCCAATTTTGGCTACAAAGTAGCAAAACTTTGGGCTAAAAAGTAGCGAAAGTAGCCCAATTTTGGGCTAAAAAGTAGCGAAAGTAGCAAAATTTTGGGCTAAAAGTAGCGAAATTTTGGGCTAAAAGTAGCGAAAGTAGCCCAATTTTGGGCTAAAAGTAGCGAAAGTAGCCCAATTTTGGGCTAAAAAGTAGCGAAAGTAGCCTAATTTTGGGCTAAAAAGTAGCGAAAGTAGCGAAATTTTAGGCTAAAAAGTAGCGAAACCAGCGAAATTTTGGGCTAAAAAGTAGCGAAAGTAGCGAAATTTTGGGCTAAACGTAGCGAAAGTAGCCCAATTTTGGGCTAAAAAGTAGCGAAAGTAGCGAAATTTTGGGCTAAAAAGTAGCGAAAGTAGCCCAATTTTGGGCTAAAAGTAGCGAAAGTAGCCCAATTTTGTGCTAAAAAGTAGCGAAAGTATCGAAATTTTAGGCTAAAAAGTAGCGAAAGTAGCCCAATTTTTTTATAAAAGTAGCGAAAGTAGCCCAATTTTGGGCTACAAAGTAGCGAAAGTAGCGAAATATTGGGCTAAAAAGTAGCGAAAGTAGCCCAATTTTGGGCTACAAAGTAGCGAAATTTTGGGCTAAAAAGTAGCGTAAGTAGCGAAATTTTGGGCTAAAAGTAACGAAAGTAGCCCAATTTTGGGCTAAAAAGTATCGAAAGTAGCAAAATTTTGGGCTAAAAGTAGCGAAAGTAGCCCAATTTTGGGCTAAAAAGTAGCGAAAGTAGCGAAATTTTGGGCTAAAAAGTAGCGAAAGTAGGGAAATTTTAGGTTAGGTTAGGTTTGGCCGCTAACGGCGAAAATCGCGCGATTTTCGCCGCTACCGGCCAAAAACTGCGCGATTTTTTCCGCTAGCTGCCAAAAACCATGCGATTTTCCTGCTGGCGGGCAAAAATCGCGTGATTTTCGCCGTTAGCGGCCAAAAACCGTGCGATTTTTGCAGCTGGCCGGCAAAAATCGCGCGATTTTCGCCCCCTACCGGCCAAAAACCGCACGATTTTCGCCGCTAGCGTTCAAAAATCGCGCGATTTTCGCAGGTAAAGGCCAAAAATCGGGCGGTTCTCGCCGCTAGTGAGCAAAAATCGGGCGAATTTCGCCGCAAGCGAGCAAAAATCGGTCGATTTTCGCCGATAGCGGCCAAAAACTGCGCGATTTTCGCCGCTAGCTGCCCAAAACCATGCGATTTTCCTGCTAGCGGTCAAAAATCGTGCAATTTTCGCCGCTACCGGCCAAAAACCGCGCGATTTTCGCCGCTAGCGGCCAAAATCGGGCGATTTTCGAAGCTGGCGGTCAAAAATCGGGCGATTTTTTCCGCTAGCGGCGAAAATCGCTCGATTTTTGCCCTTTAGCGGCGAAAACCGCCCGATTTTTGCCCGCTACCGGCGAAAAAAGAGCGATTTTTGGCCGGTAGCGGCGAAAATTGCGCGATTTTTGCCGCCAGCTGCGAAAATCGCATGGTTTTTGGCAGCTAGCTGCGAAAATCGCGCGATTTTTGGCCGGTAGCGGCGAAAATCGCACTGTTTTTGGCCGCTAGGAGCGAAAATCGCACGGTTTTTGGCCGCTAGCGGCGAAAATCGCGCAGTTATTTATTTTTGCCGCTACCGGCCAAAAATCGCGCGATTTTCGCTGCTAGCGGGCAAAAACCATGCGATTGTGAGCTCTTCTACATATCATATTATGCTACAGTGTTCGAAATGTCCTGGGTCGAGTATTCGCCTGACGGGTCGACTCCAGGGATTTCGAACACTCGGTTGCCTGAGTGTTCGTGTACCTGGCCCCAGGAGCAGAGAGGACAGCAGAACAGTCTGCTGTGAATGACAACACAACGGTGATTCTTTCGCCTGCTTTTACATTACTCACTTTTGACATAGTCTCCCGCTTTCGATCCTTTAAATTTCCCAATATATCCACTCATCCCCGGGATATTTTGTATTTTTCACACCTGTTTTCATCCACTTTTATCTGGATTTGTTTGGCTTGCAGGCCGCGCGCCCACGAGCTTGGCCTGCAGGCCGCGCGCCCACGAGCTTGGCCTGCAGGCCGCGCGCCCACGAGCTTGGCCTGCAGGCCGCGCGCCCACGAGCTTGGCCTGCAGGCCGCGCGCCCACGAGCTTGGCCTGCAGGCCGCGCGCCCACGAGCTTGGCCTGCAGGCCGCACGCCCACGAGCTTGGCCTGCAGGCCGCACGCCCACGAGCTTGGCCTGCAGGCCGCGCGCCCACGAGCTTGGCCTGCAGGCCGCGCGCCCACGAGCTTGGCCTGCAGGCCGCGCGCCCACGAGCTTGGCCTGCAGGCCGCGCGCCCACGAGCTTGGCCTGCAGGCCGCGCGCCCACGAGCTTGGCCTGCAGGCCGCGCGCCCACGAGCTTGGCCTGCAGGCCGCGCGCCCACGAGCTTGGCCTGCAGGCCGCGCGCCCACGAGCTTGGCCTGCAGGCCGCGCGCCCACGAGCTTGGCCTGCAGGCCGCGCGCCCACGAGCTTGGCCTGCAGGCCGCGCGCCCACGAGCTTGGCCTGCAGGCCGCGCGCCCACGAGCTTGGCCTGCAGGCCGCGCGCCCACGAGCTTGGCCTGCAGGCCGCACGCCCACGAGCTTGGCCTGCAGGCCGCACGCCCACGAGCTTGTCCTGCAGGCCGCACGCCCACGAGCTTGGCCTGCAGGCCGCACGCCCACGAGCTTGGCCTGCAGGCCGCACGCCCACGAGCTTGGCCTGCAGGCCGCACGCCCACGAGCTTGACCTGCAGGCCGCACGCCCACGAGCTTGGCCTGCAGGCCACACGCCCACAAACAAGATGCCGCCATCAACCATTGTGCAGCTCTATAATTGACACGTCCACCATTTTCTAGTCGTCAATTTTATCCAGATTTGCTGGCGTCCTGGAGCAATTGTGAGCGTCTTGGAGGGGGGGGGGGTCTTGCTGCGCGGCGGGGGGTGAGAGGGGGGTAGGAAGGGGGCTAGAGGAGGGGGTCAGACACTGGGGAAGATGGATGAAGTGCCAGAGATTATCAAACTTAAGGTGATCAGGAAAGCAAGATAACTGCTCAATTCAAACATCGTGTCATATCATATTTGATGCGGAGTTTTTTGTTATATCTTTGCGATATCTCTGATAGCAAGTTAGGGTGTTGGTGTGCGCGAGGCGGGAGTGGAGGATATCTGACTGCGTCACCCCCACCCGCCATCTTGCCGGCGCGGGGGCGCCTCGCCACCATCTGCCTGCCCTATCTTCCTCCCCCCGGCGCCCCCCCTCCTTACCCGCCCCCTTCTCCCCATCATCATCAACACGGATCTGCAACACACCCATTCCTGTATTTTCCCTCCTCCTCTCCTATCCCCTTCTCTTCCATTTCATCACCCTCCTTTCGCTTGCAATACTGCTGGTGGGGTGTGCATGTTAGTGGCCCCTCCCTTCCCAACACCACACCCACCTCCACACCTGTTTCCACACATGCTGTCAGGTGTAGTGTCAGGCACTGTCAACACCTGACTGTCGCTGCTAGGTTATTATGTGGAAGTAATTGAGGCAGTACAGGTGAGGCACTCAAACCAATCATGTATTTCTTAGTGGCACCCAACGCCGCCACACACTGTATTCCACAGAACATTGGATATTCTAGGAGATCTCTCATTCCACACCCTGTATGGTGTGGAATGAGGTTCCACACCATGCAGAGGTTCACACCATTCTTGAGGTTCAATGGTTGTGTCTCCAAGCCTCTCGTGGAGATCTTGGAGTGTCTGAATATTGGGTGAGCGGTGTTTTCTTAATGTTATTGGAACCTTTGTTTACACTGTAAATTTTGTATGTTCGTTTCCCTTAAGGGGCGTATACGGGGTTCTGAGGAGTATTAGAGATGTGGACAGACTCCGCAGTCATCCTTGTGATTGTAAAACATTCAAAAAACCTTGTGCGATTGCATTTCGTGTCATGATTACCGAATTTTGTTGTCTAAGGGTGTTTGTGTGTGTTTTTGTTTTATGGTATTTATGTGAATTCTGATTCCTGTTCTGTTAAACCAGCCGGGTTTCCCAACGTCAAGAAATTGACGTACTAAAGTGCCCTTATCCTAACTTAACAAAGGACCCAAAACAAAAAACGGGGCAGTATGTCAATTTCGCGAGCTGCTACTATTTTCTAGTACGAAGATTTTTGTTCTTAGGTAGAGTATACGTCGACATGCGACGCGCTACTTGGACGACGGGTTGGTCACCATCCCGCCAAACACACATCGAAACTACGACGTTGGTACAACGTTCGAACAAGTTTTAACACTTCCTAACCAGTTATAACAACCAATATGGCAAGGTATGAGTCACAATAACGGGGCTAAAGTAAGGTGGTGACCAGACCACACTAGAAGGTGAAGGGACGACGACGTTTCGGTCCGTCCTGGACCGAAAGTCGATTGAAGTCCCTTCACCTTCTAGTGTGTGGTCTGGTCAGCCAATATAGCAAGTTGTAACATTCTAATACGTCATAAACACGTTACGCCAAGATGCAACAACTTTATTACAAGTTGTACCAAGCGGAAAATAGAGACAGTTTCCGTTTGTTTTTCCAGGGGCATCGCCTCGCCCAAAAACCGTCCCCCCCCCCCCCTCCCAATATAATTCAGAAACCCCTGCAGCACTCCACTCACGAGTATTCACCTAGTTGTGCTTCGGGGGTTGAGCTCTGGCTCTTTGGTCCCGCCTCTCAACTGTCTGAGTGTTCTTGAATATCTGTAAGACAAAAAAAGTAGTCTATGGTTGAGAGGTGTCGCAGGGCCCTGGTGCCAGCCCTCTCCGTGGCACTGGTGCCTCTCTAGTGACTTCGGGTTCGTAGTCCTGAGGTTCCGGGTTCGATCCCCGGTGGAGGCGAAAACAAATGGGCAGAGTTTCTTTCATCCTGATGTCACTGTTACTTAGCAGTAAATACGTACCTGGGAGTTAGACAGCTGTTCTGGGCTGCTTCCTGGGGATGTGTAACAAAAAGGAGGCCTGGCCGAGGACCGGGCCGCGGGGACGCTAAGCCCCGAAATCATCTCAAGATAACCTCCCACAGCACCAGGTATCATTAACATAAGTACAGTAGTATCCATATCTGCAATACTTTGTGATAACATCTGAAATTTCTCTGGACTTCCGTAAATGCTTTTCAATAAACAAGGAACAAAATATTATTACAAGGCTTCAGATTAAGCTGCAAGCCTAAATTACGTCCTAATTTAGCATATTTTTATCACATATCTAAAATCACATGCCTAAAATTTGCGTAAGATTTCTCTATTATCTTGTACTCGATCTGCATTGAAAATAAGATTATGTATTTCGCTATGCTTTCTTAACTTTGTATATATACCTTTTCATAAATTTGGTGACATCTGAAACTTCCGAATTCAAATTTGACGTTTTTGTAGCGATCGGCAAGACATCAATCGTCACTTTGACGTGCAGATCACGGCGGCCCGCCCACACCGATGGCTGTGTTCGATTTCAACGATATATTGATTGATAGCAAAATATTTATTAACTTGCAAATTAGATAATATAAGACTTTTATAAGCGAGGACTAATTTTAAGAATTCCTTGTTATATGTAATGAAATTAGCGGCGCACACGAAGGCGTAGAACCGTACATGTATATTTATTGTAGGGTCACGAAGTCCAAGTCTCGCGGCGGAACAGGACGCGGGAGGCCGTCGATGAACCGTTGCGCGATTGGTGGATTCGAGACCTTCCGGGACCGCTGCCAGATGCGCGCTTCACCGCCACATGGAGTCACACTTGAACTCAAGTGCTCCGTTGCATCTTATAAATTAAAACTTTTATTCCTCGATGGGTCATTTATATCTTAAAGAACACTACCAACAAGAATAAATATATGAAAATGGTGACAAGAAAAGAGGTTTATGCCAACAACCGAAACGTGGTTAGTGGCGGGAAGGTCTGGCGGTGACGGAGCGCCGCGTTCATTGGTCCGCCATCACCCAACTTCGAAATGCTCCAGCTACTTCATAAATCAACCGAGATTTGTCTCGTTCTCTCGAACGAACAAAGTAAATTACACCTTTATCAACTAGTAACATACGATTCGCGTGCGCCATCAGTCTTAAAGGGGAAAGACTAAGAGTCAAACACATCATGTCGACGACAAACACAATAAGCCTCCTCGCCTTTAATACGAAATTTTTTAGGGATAATTTTCAATCTTGGAACTAACCTCGGCCAATCAGAGGTCGTCGTGCAGACGGTGGTGGCGTCGTAATCACGAACGGTAGGCTGAATCAGTCATTTGCGATTCCTTAGTCGTTCCAACCCACCATTCGAAATATATATACACGTAGTTATGGTTGAAAATTACCCCAACATTACCAGTCGGCCAGTAACACATGTTCGAACAACATAATCATAACACAATGAAGTCATAACCCGTCTGGACGGTGGTTCAATCCCACAGTCCTGTTCCAAAAACATTTTAACAATTAATAACAGCAGTGTTACCGCTGATACTAATGTGTGCTTCAAGTCAGTTTAAATCAACCGGATTATGGTGGCTATGAAAGGCGATGGCTGCAGTGGCCGTAATTTCTGACTGATTGTGGTTGCGGAAATTGTCGTTGCAGCCGTTTTAGTAATAGTGGTAGTTGCCGTGTATGTAATGGCTGTTGTGGTAGTCTGTAGCGACTTCTTGTCGTGGCTTTTCCGGTAGTGGAAGCGCCACCCGCCTGACAACATGACGAATTGGCGATTTATCAAGTCCAATTATTAATAGGATTTTGTTTTTTTCCAAGGTCTTCTCTTCAAGGTAAAAATTACTAAACACTTTGCTACAATGCTAGGCGACACCCGCAGGCATATCAGGGTAAAGTGGCACTATTGACCGACTAGCCGCCTGGTTAAATAGTGCCAGGGGCCAGATTCACGAAGCAGTTACTTACGAACCTGTACATCTTTCCTCAATCTTTGACGGCTTTGGTTAAATTTATTAAACAGTTTACAAGCATGAAAACTTGCCAATCAACTTGTCATTGTTATAAACAGCCTCCTGGTGCTTCGGAGCTCATTAATTGTTTAATAATTGTAAACAAAGCCGCCAAAGATTGAGAAAAGATGTACAGGTTCGTAAGTGCTTGCGTAACTGCTTCGTGAACCCCTGTTCACGAAGCAGCTACCACCACAAATACAAGGTTCCGAATGATTCCTTACGCAGGTTTCTGATGTTAGCCAGCCTCGCATACGCCGCCGATGTTATTCTTTTGATGTGAACTTCAGGAGACTGGTTTGGGGTGGTATCAACTGGCGGAGCACTGTCTGTCTGTGTGTGTGTGCGCGCGCGCGCGAGGGGTTGAGTGCCAGAGTGTGTGTGAATATCGGAGACTGTGAACACGTAAATGAGAGTGCCATCCTCGCCAGGGCCACACAGCCACGGGTCGTCAGATGCACCACCAGGCACTTTACCACACCGCCACATCCCCCGAGTTGGCCACCACCACTCGCGCTGAACGTTTCAGACATCTAAAACATGTAACCGAGCGCCGTGTAGACGCTATAGATTGATCTGCATTGCGGACCAAGATAGCAGGCCCCGTGACGGCGCTGGGCGGCATAAAAGCCCACTCATTATCTTAACATACGACAGCCTCGACTCAGAAGCACGTGCAACAAAGCCACCAGCTCCCCACCTGCTTAAAACAACTCATGCACGAGGCAGTTACGCTTCAGTAGCACCTCTGGATAGAGACGAGTTTGGAATCGTTGAAATATCTCGGCGGAGCTTACTGATGGGGGCCTTAGGCGACCACAGAAACGCTGTGTGGGT